TTTTTGGCATTATATTAGTAAATCTATGTTATTCTAAAAGGACGAGTGTTTTTATAAAAAATATGAACTATCTAAAATACATTTACTTTGACATAATTAAATTATGGTCAATTACTAAATTAGTAAAACACCAATACCCATCATATATTCTACGTTTAAATAAAATGAACTACCTAAAAAAATTTTATTTAAATAATTGCAAAAATAGTAATGCACTATTATTCTATCATGTTTTATATTATTAATTGATAGATAATGTTTAATTAACTAAATACATATACATAAACAAAACATTCAACATATACTAAAAATCAAGTACACTATTTTTGCACCTTATTCTTGTGCTCTTCTACATATCTCTCAAACTGCATTATTCCATATCTCTGAAAAAATCAACCCACATTAACATAAAATAAAACGTAATTTCAAAAATACATACTTAGCTTATTAAAAGAAGGTACCTAAAATTTTACAAAAAGCATGCGCACGTGAGAGATATACATAATCCAACACATAAGGAAAATGGAACAATTTATTTAACTACTTTATTCTTTCAAAAAACTAAACTCTTTTATTTAGAATTATAATAGAAATTGAATATTAGTCTTATTTGATTGAATTTTTAATCTCACGGGAATTGTCATTTTTTTTTTTTTTTTTTCTAGGACAAAGCCAATAAGGTAACGAATTTTCACATGATCTTTAGGTGGTTAATATCATGGTAAATCCTCCCTATATCTTATACTCGAATGCTCTGAGCCTACGTGGTTGCTTCTGGTGCTTCGGAATCATACTTGGCAAAAAATCATGATTCGTGATTAGGTTTGGACTAAGAATATTAATATATTAATAATTAATAATTTAGGTTTGGACATTCCATAAATATTATTTAGCTAACTTAGGTATTTTAATATCACTTGTACTAATATAACCTTTTATGTTTTTTTGTAATTTTACATAATGAGGCACTAAGTGACTACTATATCCTTGACTTTTGATTTATTTCCTTCAATTAGCTATTGAATTATAAATGTATTTTAAAAGTTGATAATTTTTGTATTTCTTATCGATTTTACATATATAATATATCAAATTAATCATCTTTTGATGATCTTCGATTTGACATCCATATTGTATATATGAAATAAATAAATTATATTTATCCTTATAATAATAAAACATAATAATATTTATTAAAATTCATTAGAAAAATAAAATTATTTATCAAGTGATATATTTATGTCTAATGTAGTTTTATGTTGTAAATTTTAAAAAATATTATAATATAACACATGTAAGTTGCACAAATAAAAAGTGTCACACGAAATATATAATAATATATATTTTATAAATGTTATTTAAATTTTCAACTACTTTTTCTCATTAATTTTAGATTTTAAGAACAAATTAGCAAGCACCCGTGTAATACACGGGCATTGTACTAGTAATATTTTATTTATTAACACTGAAATATTTTAGCCTTTTTCATTCAAGGATTAACTACATATATCATGATATTTTAATTATTATTACTTCACTTGAACCATTGATTTTCCAGATGAGCGCTAAATAAATGATGAGAATTATAATTTTTATATTTTAGATATTTTATTTATTGATATTATATTAAGAAATTTAAATGATTTTATGACTATCTCAATAAATTTGAGAGTTTATTTTACTATACGTATCGTATCAAATAAGAAAACTGTTTAAACAATATTCATCTAAGTTTGTAAATTTTTTTAATAACTATAAGTAAAATTTTTGAAATTAATGTTGCGTGTGCTCATAACGACCACAAAGTATACAAACATTATTTTGCAAAATAACTTATAAAAAGAATACATGTAATAGTATGAGAGATTAATTGTTGAGTGATTGCTTTGCAACTAAACTTAAAATCTACTTAATTTTATTTGCTTAAAGTTAGATTAGAAAAAAAATTATGAAATTTTATAATTCTAAAACTCAATCCATTTGTTTACATGTCGAATCGGATACCACTTGAGCAACATGATTTAATTTTGATCATAAGATTACCTACAAATTAATTGAAAACATTTCGAGAATCATGATATGTCTATATATGTTGAATACTAAATATTTTTTACTAAGAAATTATATCAGTATATGTCGAAGTATTTGTATTAAAAAAATGTACAAAATAAAAAATTTATATAATTGACTAAAAATAATAGTCAACAAATTGTAATTATATATAATATAGTATAAATATATACATTTTAATTAATATATAATAAGACATTCGACCAAAAAATTTTACACATTATTTTATGGATTTTGTTAACAAATCTAAAAGTTATACATACGATATCTTGATATTTATCTTTCTTATTCATACTTATAAATTTGAATTCCTCGCTACATATATTGTTGAGTCCTTCCCTATCTAGATACCGAACCAAAGTCAGTGTATGGGAGAAGTTCGATATAATTGACGAAGCGAGTTCAGTCAAAGAAGCGAAGTGAATGAAAGGTTATAGCATATGCTCGACTATAAAGGAGAGGCTCGATGAAATTGACGATACAAAAGAAGCGAAGCGAAGTTCAGTCATCAAATTTTGTCAATTGAAGCACAAATCTATGACAAATAAATTTATGTAGTACACGAGCCTTACAGTTAATCTCAGCGCATCGATACTTGTTAATTATCTATAAGGGCAATTAGGGCGTGTCCGTATACAAATATATCCGCCCAAAATGAGTTTTTTTTTTTTTTTTGGGTTAACCAGAGGCTATTTTGAAAAAAACATTGTATAATTAGTTGTTCGTGGTATGTTATTTTTATATTAAAATAATATTTAAACTAAAATAACCAAAACTGATTTGATGTAAAAGTAAAAGAAAAATGATATTAGAGGTATAAGAATAATTGATTGATATTATTTAAGTATAATGATAAATTTGAATATAACGGAGTTGAGTTAAAGATTTAATTAAATCTTTAAGTATAAATTAAGCATGAACTAATACTATTTTTAGGTCCATCCCATTATCCTTTTGGCCTCAAACCACACTGTCTTTCACTTCAAAATGCATTTGCTCACCGCACCTTCAGTTGCAGGCGGCTTTTCATTTCTCGCCAATTTTTCGAACTCCGTCAGCGCATCTGAGATCCCCCTAATAGGAACCCCGTTGAACCTCTCCTGCAGCCTACCTTCAAACAAGAGGCCAGCTTCACTGAGCGCTTTAAAAGTGTCGGTTTCAAGTGGCAGCAGCACGACTACAGTTGATGGGCTCGATCAGTCTCTACGCCTTGAAGATGCTAGGCGTGCTCGGGTGTGTTTGTGTTGCTCTTCTTTTTGCTTAGAAATTCTCGAATCGTCTCTTGTTTGGAACGATTAATGAATGATTATGAAGAATTTGTTTTTGTTCCATGTGCTTGATTGATGTTCGAAGAAGGACGGGAAAATCCTGAGCAATTGTAGATAGTTTGGATTGATTTCTGTAAAATTGTATAGGATTATTGATCTGATTATTTTGATACTTAATTTTTTATGAATTTCCACTATGAGCTTTTTATGTATTTCCTTTGCTACACGAACAAGTAGACGCTTGCTGACTGGAAATCGGTAGTGTCGTTGCTGCACGAGGGATCAGTCGTTCAAGGAAAAGTTGAAGGATACAATAATGGTGGCTTGGTGATAAGAATTTATTCCCTTTGGGGATTTCTTCCGTATCTGCAGTTGTCCCCCTCTCATTCATGCAAAGGTATCTTATTAATCTCTGATGTTGAAGTCTAGATTCACCCAGGAAAAATGTTCTCATGGTTTGTAAACATAAATTCTTCTGGAAAAGACTCATGGCTCAATATTTTATGAAGAATACTGTAAGTTCAGTTATGAGATACTAGGCTTTGCGTACCCGAATACGCATTCTCTTCATGTAGAGGTTCGTTGAAGTGTGAGATGTGAAGAGTATGCTAAATCAAGTTGAAGTTTGAGATTTGATAAGCATGTTTAATCAAGTTACAGATAATTTTTTATGTTACTTCCATGACTAATTGAATGCTCTATTGCTACTGGCATGCCTACTTGGCTTTTTCTGTGCTGCACTATGAGCCATCTTAAGGAAGGAGCTAGGGTCATAGCTTAATCTTGCCGTGGAACTTTGATGTGATAATCAAGCAACACTCCATGTAGCATCTAATTCTGTATTTCATGGACGAACAAAACGAATTGGATTGTCATTTTTTTTTTGACAAACTTGGCATTATTGCTATAGTTGCTTCTTTAGGGGGAGTGTTAATGTATATGGTATCGATTTGTTAACGTATACATGTTATATCTGGGGTATCAATTAGTATAATATATTGTTTTCCTGTAGAATAGGCTATTTAATTTAATAACCTTCTTTAGTTTTATCCTAGACCGGTATGTATATCGCTGTATATTATACTCTTGAATAATAATGAAGATGATCAGGTTATTCCATTTTAAAATGAAGTCACAAGTGAAACCAATGTAATTGCCTTTATGTGAGTTAAGTATGCAAAACATTAAAAGTTAAACCTTTGAAATAAAATTTTAGCAAAATAATAGAAGAATTATCTTATTCTCCAATATAAAAGGTTTTCTGATGTCATGTCATGACGATGGTTTTGTATTGTGATGATTGTTTCATTTCATAGCACTTTTTAATCCTTGCTTTTCTAATTCCAGAAGCTTTTGTTAGAACCATAAGATGTCAAGATGTTTTACTTGACATTATCTGATGTTCTTTTCTATTTGGTAGATAATAATGTTGAAAATATTTTTGGGAAATGAGTACTCAATGCTTAAACATATTTGACACAAGATGGAAATGTGATGTTCTTGTAAAATCGCAATTCTATGTAATTAGTTAATGGAGACTAAGAGTGACCGGATAATATATTTGCATCATGGTTTTAAAATATACAATTCTATGTAATTAGTGAATGGAGACTAATAAGAGAGACCGAATAATATATTTGCAACATGATCTTAAAATGATGATAATTGATAGTAATGTGTTTTCAGTGAAATAATAATTCGATATGATGGATGAAGCAAAAGTGAGAATAAATTAATCACTCTGATAAACATGCATAGACAGTTGATGATAAAAATACTGGATGGAAAATTTTACTCAACAGCTTTTAAAGCAAGCACAACCATGATTGTTTTCTCACTTCTCTCTCGTTTTACCCTTTTTGTGACATCTACCAATCCCTTTTAGGACTAAGTGTTTCTGGTCTTTTAGTTTCTTTGCAGAATTTTTGCATCTACAGCTTCATTGATTTTTCGTCGTATAGACCTAGCAAAGTACAACAAAAACAAAAAAAGGGGAGTAGTCTTCTTTTTCTTGTATTCAATCAAGAGAAAACCTCACCCCCAGAGTCTAATAAAGGGAATATACCAGCTGTTATTCAGCAAGAAACACTGGCCTCTAATTTTTAGTTATTATGCAGAACCTCACAAGACCTTCACAGAGATTGCAAGATCTTTGGTGGGTTCTCTTATTCCTTTGAAGGTATGGGTTCTATAAGTAATGTTTACCATGTTTACTTTTTCTCACTCCTTTTTCTTTTTCCCTTTATATCCTTTCTTGATGCTAGGTTAAGTTGCTAGATCTTGAATGGAACTTCTTGATGCAACCCTTTTTTTTTTTTTTTTTTTTTTTGAGGATAATTCATGAGGTGAAGTATGGAACTTTATATGCTTGCATTTAATACTTTTCTGCTACATGTCACACAGAAATCAGAATCTGTACATTGATTAATTAGACTATCACAGCAGTCTTCTATTCATAGTACTACATCATCTGTTACTTAAAATGATAATTTAATTTCTCTCGGTGTGTGTGTGTTGGGTAAATGTAATTTATACGGTAGTTTGTTGGATTCCGAGATAATGTCTCATTTGGATAAACTGGCGAAGTGGAATGGTTCAAAACAAAGGTTATTGATCAACTACCTAGGTTTCTTTCCGACTTCTGATCACCTCCTTAGATCTCTTGTTTGTGTGTTT